GCTTACCCTTACATATGTGTGCGTGTTTCTCACTGTCATGTTTTCGAAGATTTGTTCCTTGTTTCCACCAAAATTCAAACTCACGGGATCCAATGTGGCTTTTCTGGATCAGGGGCTGTTTTTATATTCACCGGATCAGTCGAATCATGGAAAAGGAAGAAGGGAAGGGGGGAGCTGAACAAGAACGCGTTTTCGATGAAACCATTTTGCAGGCATGTAATGGGGTCCCAATACGTCGGCATCTCTCAACTCTTGTGAAGCTAATAGTAAATAGGTGGTCACAAAATACAAATGAAGTGGGGATCCAGCAGCAAGTAGGTAGTCACGAACTACATATGAAAATTCTGACTATCTAGTTCGCTCTACAAATTTGATCGCAATTTTCTTTAACTATGGGCCGATGACATGGTGACTGCACGGGTAGCTGTTATTTTGAAACGGCTTATAGTAAAAAGTTCTGTGGGTGATAGTCTTTGGGCATTTTCTGATCATTTCTCATCCATAATGAAAAGGAACCATCAATCGGCAGCCCAGAGCAGCGCAACGTATCCACTAGTGCTGCGCCTACAACGAACGGAGATATGTTGGAAAAGGCTCCAGTCGGTGACACCTCTTCTGATGCCTCAACTATGTGGAGACTTTTGGAAAAGTCAGAGGGACGTCTTTAATCTAGAAATCTCGAGGTATTTTTCCCGCAACCATGAGCCTTTCAAGTGTATATACTCACGAATATTTTTGGTCACTTCCAGGACTTCGACCCATAAATGAAACAGTGACCTATACATGTTGTGGAGTATACACTCCTGTCTTCTTCAGTGTCAACTCACTTCTCTATCGGTTAATGTTCACCACAGAATCCGCTGTTCTACCTACCCGTTCATTAGGCCAGACAGAAGAAGACTGTAGGTATTATTGAATGGATTCACGTGAATAACACATTGTGTGTACAACTGATAAAGGGATAAATACTGCTATTTTCTCTAATGAGCTTTTGCACGCTGGGGTGAGCTTTGACGCATTGGGTCTTTCATGAATTTTTCAGTCGAAATGATAGCGCAAGCCCATGTGTTTGTAAACGGTAGCTACCTGTCTTTTACGCTACGTCCATTGATGTATGCGAGAGATGATGTCAGGTCGTGTTTCGTTTGACATCATCACCCGCATACGTCGATGGTGAACGTAAAATGATGAACAGTACAAGCGGAAGTTTTTGGGTGCTCAATCGGGGACTATTTGTTTTCGGAATAAGATCTTTTTTATGAATCAAACTGAGTAAGTGTTTTCTCTATAATTCGTTCAGGCAAACAAACAATAAGAAGCCAAAAATCCGTACCTCCGTAGTATCGCAAGCCCATGTGTTGGTAAACGGTAGATTAAGACCGACAAAGTCGAAACCCCGTCTTGAGGGCAAGTGAGCTCCGTCGGTGCTGTTCAGTTCGTTGATGCCAAGGTGCCATTTACCGATCATTCCAGTTACGTAACCTAGAGAGTAAACGGTGATGGAAAACAGTGATGTAGAACTCCATGCTGATTCTTATAATATTGGACTATGAGATGTAAGCGGTGGATCTGGAATAATAAAAGCTTTGAGATAATCAGTACTCGTTGGTTGGCATATAGTGAATTCATAATCATGGTCACTACGATTCCGAATAGAAGTCGAGTACCTTGGGAAATCTCGAAACAAGACTGATCAACTAAAATAATTCCATCGTTAAATCTTCGTAGGAGGGCCATTACGGTCATACATGTCTATGAATGTTCGAGATGAAAATAACGATACGCACAGAAAGTTTTTCGGGTTCTTTAGGACGTCCACTCACTATGTTAGATATTCCTAGAACCTGGGGCTCCAGTTGCCATCCCCTCACCTCTTCAGATATTCCGAGCAGGTGATGAAGAGTTTTAGCTCATTTGTTGACTTTATTCGAATATAAAAAATCGGTTCAAGATGAAATATGACGTCCTGTACTCAATGTCTTTCAAACACTTGGAACTTCTGAGCTTCCAGAACTATATCAAATAAATTGTCACAGTATATGACTGTAGGAGAAGCTCGGAGCGTGCAAGACATGGGGCCTTGTTATAATTCGTGCTCAGCAAAGTGCTCTAACAGTCGCTAGTGATTGGAAGATTGTTGCATTCTGAATATC